ACATCATTTTCTTACTTGGAGATTTTTTTTGGGAATTTAATTGCTGTTCTTTTTTCTTCTTGTGAGGGATGCTTAACTTTTTATTTTTATTTTTTGACCTTCTTTTATAACATCTGCTTTTTACATTGTAAGATTGCTATTAACCACTATACGTACTTAAGTATTATATTGTCTTCATCCTTAAGCTCTGATGTGTCATATTTCATTACCTTTCAGTATAAAACATTTTTAATGCCCATAATGATTTTTCCTTTAACCAATGAGTTATTTAGAAGTGTATTGTTTAATTTCTAGATACTTGAGAGTTTTCCAGGTATCTTTCTGTTATTTGATTCTTAGTTTAAGTCTTTTTTTTGTCAGAGAACATACTTTGTATTATTTCTCTTTTTTAAATTTGTGGAGATTTATTTGATGGCTCAGTATGCTCTAACTTGGTGAATGTTCCATGTGCACTTAGAAAGAGTGTGCGTCCCAGTGGTGGAGTATCTTATAAATATCCATTAGGTCAAGCTGGTTGAAAACACTGTTCACGTCTTCTACATTCTTGTTTATGTTCTGTCAGCTACTGAGAGGAATGTTGGAATCTGCAACGATGATTATGGATATATCTATTTTTCTTTCAGTTCTAACAGTTTTTATTTTGTGTATTTTGAAGCTCTCTTCTTGGGTGCATACACATTGAGCACTGTTCTGTTCTCTTGAATAATTGCTCTTTATCACTGTGTAATGTCCTTCTTCATCCCTAGTAATACTCCTTTTTCTGAAGCTTACTGTGTCTGACACTAATATATACACTCCAGCTTGCTTTATTGTCTGTGTGGTGTATTTCTCTCCTTTTATTTTTATGTCTTATATTTAGAGTGTGATTATTGTAATTGGTTAGGTCTTGCTTTTAAAAAAATCCAATTTAATAATCTCTGCATTTTAGTTTGAATGTTTAGGTCATTTACACTTGATGTTACTGTGGATATGGCTTGGTTTGAATCTGCCATCTTGCTGTTTCTTTTGTGTGTGTCCTAACTCTTCTTGCCTTTTCCCTCTTTCCTACCTTTTTAAGAAAAACTAATTTTTAAAAATCATTCCAGTTGATCTCCACCATTGGCTTATTAGTTATACTTCTTCTAAAAAATTACTACTGGTTGTTCTAGGGATTATAATATACTTCTTTAACTTATTACAACATATGTTCAAGTAAAATTGTACCACTTTGCATATAGTGTAAAGAACAGTGTAAGAACCTCCGGCAGTAGATTCCCATTTCCTCTCTCCGTCTTTTCTACTGTCATTTTCCTGTACTTCACTTCTGTACATGTTAAACACCCTGCAATACCTGTTCCTATGTTTGCTTTAGTCAACTATCTTTTAAAGCAATCAAAAGGAGAAAAATATTTTTAATCTTTGCCATTGTCTTTACCATTTTCATGCTTTTTATTTCTTTTTGTAATATGCCCATTTCTATTAGGCATTCTTTTGCCTGAAGAACTTTCTTTAACAATTCTTGTTAGTGCAAGGCTGTGGTCAGTGAATTCTCACAGCTGTTGTTTGTCTGAAAAGTCGTTATTTCACTTTCATTTTTTCTCTCTTTAAGAGACTATTTTTGTGAACAATTTTAGGTTTATAGAAAAATTGACCAAGAAGTACAGAGTTCCCATATTCCTTAACTATTGAAGCATGTCCAGCTCTTCCAGTAGACCGTCAGCATATTAGCCATGCTTATTTAAAGTCCTTGTAGCCGTCCAGCATCTGGACCCGATGTCCTCACCCGTCCTTGTCTCTCTGGAGGCCTGAATCCCGCTCCTCCTCAATCTCAGCTTTCGGCTCACCTCCACGTTCTTCTCTGTCTTGGGAATCTTGTCATGTTCATCACCCTTGGTTTTCTGGCCTACTTATGGGCCTCGACTGTGAGCTCCTTCAGGCAGGGCCTGGAACCTTCTTGTCTCCGTACCCTAAGTCTAGAGCCAGTTGGGCAAAACTCATGAATGTCACTGTGAGTGGGTGAGGGAAAGAAGGAACAAAGACAGGAAGGGTTCTTCCATAGTTACATTTCCAGGGAACGATGCCATATAAAGTTGAGCTACCTTCTTTATAGTTTAAAAAAAATCCATGAAAATAATACTTGCAACATTTTGCAATTTTAGGCATTAACTGGTGAGAGCCCTGTCTCCTCACTACAGTCTTAGATAATGACTTTGAATAGTTCCACGTGTATCCTTCCAGACTTTTCCCTAAATGAGAGTGCGTATGTCTGTGTATGTGTACATGTTTTGCACATATATACATAAGCGTAATTTACGTTAAGAAATGGGCTCATAACTATATGTGAAAGTCTTCACCTTGTTTTCTCATGTACTGTGTCTTGGCATTTCTCTAACTCGGCGCATACCCACGACACCGTGGCTCAGTTGGTTGGGCATCACCCGGCGCACTGAAAGGTTCCTGGTCCTGGCAAGCGCCTGCATTGCAGGCGTGATCCCCAGTCAGGGCACGTGTGTGAGGCAGCCGGTCATGTTTCTCTCACATTGATGTTTCTCGCTCTCCCTCTCCCTTCCTCTCCTGTCCCCTTCTCCCTTCCTCTCTCTATGCATGTCCTCAGGTGAGGATTAAAAGTAATAATGATAAAATTTTAAAAAATGGTTGTATAGTATGCCAGGGCATAGAGACATCATAATTCATTTACTCTTCCTTCTTTGGTGGGCACTGTGATTACAGTTCTTTGCTTTTTTAATACTGATGGCTGACATGCTCTAGAGCTTACCATGTGCCAAGTACCATGCTGTGAGCTTCCCAGGTGTGATCTCACTTACTCTTCATGACACTTTTCTGAGGCACGCAAAGTTGTCCTCTCTCCTTTTATCTCATTAGCATCACTGACAGTGGGAAGTATTGAGCCTGAAGCTCCTGGACTCTGCTCCTCCACTCTGACCTCTCCAGGTCACGGCAACATAAAGAAGCCAGGTTTTTCCAAGGTGTTGGTGCCAAAGCACCAATTGCTTTGTGTCTTTAGCTCCCTCCCATCTGTATTCACTGTGGTGGATTTGTTCCTGTGCAGGGCCGTCCCTCACACTTTCCTCGCTTTCCTTAAGAGGGCAGGTCCCCTGTGACCACTTGAGGCTGGATGCAGATCTGTCTATCCGTTCTATGGCCCTAGAAGCAGATTGGGGATCTTAGTTGCTTGATTTCCCAGGGGAGGCTGACATGAATGTGGTCCAGTGAAATGTAATCAGGGCCTTTATCGTGTCTGTTTCGACTTTCCCAAACCTCCTGGCTGCCAGATCTCGACCCTCCATCCCAGGGGTGGTGTAAGTCTCTCTGCGGACAGGCTTGAGTTGATGGATTTCTTCCTGTACTATGCGGGCCAGAGGACTGCCTCTTTGAAGTCCACATTTCTAGTCTTCTTTTCCTGAAAATCAGGGTGGGTTTTTGACTTCAGCGAATGCCCCGGTTGCATGACCAGAAGTGGCATGTATTGTTCCTGGATTGTCAGGTAGTCAGAGGAGCAGACGGAGGCAGGCAGGGGCTCCTTTCTGTTTGCCATCCCCCCTTCTCACTCACTGAGGCCTCCAGGCCACCGTAAGCCACTGCTGATTGCACTGAATGCCTCCTCCTCCATGTCTTTGTCTAAAACAGCTTTACTGAGGCATATTTTTCATGCAATAAAATTCACCCACTTAAAGCGTCCAGTGAGATGAGTTTGGGTAGATGTCCATAGGCATGCAGCCATCACCGTAGTCAGGTTTGAACATTTCCATCACCCGCTTGTTTCCTCGTTTGTCCCTTTGTGGTCAGCCCCTCCCCTCCATTCCTCACCACCACTGGCCCAGGCAACCATGGACTTGTTTTTTGATGCTAGATCTTTTAGAAATTTATATATATGAAATCATGTGGTATGTAGTGATCTGTGTGGCTGCTTTTTCTTAGTAAAATGTGTTTGAAATTTGTGCCTTCAGTTCCCAGCAGTCCGCCCTTTCATTGCTGCGTGGTGGTCCGCTGTGTGGCGAGCCCTTGTCTAATGTGTGCGTCCCTAGCTGACCAGCATTGAGACCTTTCCATTGTGTGGCCCTGATGAATAAAGCTAATGCAAACATTTGTGTACAAGTTTTGTGCGAACATACTTTTTCATTTCATTTGGGTAAATAAATACCCAAGGGAGAGTTGTGGGGTTGAATAATAAGTGTATGTGTAACTTTTTGAGAAGCTGTCAAATTGTTTTCCGGATCACCTGTGCTGTTTTCATTCTCACTGACAATGGCTGTGTGTTCCTGTTGCTTTATATCTTTGTATCTGCTACCAGCACTGGTTGCTTTCACAATTTGAGTTCTCATAGTGGGTATAGTGTTACCTTATTGTGGCTCTTTTTGCCTTTGTGTTTTGTTATGCCTTTAACCTTTATTTTGAAAATATTTCAGATTTACAGAAGACTTACAGGATAGTACAAAGAGTTCCCATATAGCTTTTGCCCAGCACCCTCTAATGTGGTGGTTCTCAATCAGTGGTGACTTTGCCCTCCGTGCCCACTGGCCTTTTGGCCAAATGTCTGGAGACATTTTTGGTTGTCACATCATGAGGTCAGGTGCAGCCAGGGGAATGCTGTTGACACCTAGTGGGTAGAGGGCATTTGAGATGGAGGTGGCCATCAATGTCTCTGGGTATTTCCTTCTATGTTTTTGGTCACATAATTCCCTCCCACTGTCATAGGGCCTGTCTTCCAGGTCTATTGAGGCCCGAAGAATCAGTCAGAAAAGGAGAAAAGGTTTTTCCTTGTCCCAAGTGGATGGTTTCTACCTCCAGTGACCTCCGGACTAGAGGGCACTGTTCCATCTCTGTAGGATGTTGACCCACATTGGAATGATCATCTATGGATGTTTCTGGACACTCCTTCCTCCCTCTGGATGGAGGTTGAAGACTTTCCTTTGCTCCCTGGTTGCATGATCTGCTTGTAGCCTGCGCCCCAGCAGTTGGTGTTGCCTATGTAACTGTTGGATACTTTCTCATCTCTACAGCCAGATTATTGCTAGAGGGCTACTGGATATCTTCCGGGACTTCAGTAATGATGAAGAAGACTTCTTAACGGTCATGGCGATCGTGGTCAGATTATCAGAAGATGCAGGTTTGTACAGGAGTGTATACTTTTACTTTTTACTCGCACATTTCCAAGAAATTGTTTATAACCAATGATAGCTAACATAAAAATCCCTGCTTATTAATCAATAAATTTTAAGCAATGCCTACCCATGAATGGATTTTGTCATGAAGAATGGGCGTCTTGTTTGGCATCAATGATGCTTATTTTCAGAAAATTAGAATGACTAACAGCTGTGAATGCTCTTTGCCCTGGCAGTTAGGCATTTTGTATTTCATGACTTCTGCCAGACTATTGGTTGCTAAGGAACACCAAATCAGCCCTAGGTAGTTTTCCCAGTGGTTAGAGTGTCGGCCCTCCGACTGAAGGGTCTCTGGTTCGATTCCTGTCAAGGGCAGATACCTCGGTTGCAAGCTCGATCCTGGCCTCGGTCAGGGTGAGTGCAGGAGGCAACCAAGTGTCTCTCTCACATCAGTGTTCCTCCCTCCCTCTCTC